AACGCGACGCTGTTGTATTAATCTGCACACTTCAGTTTCCTTGGGGCAGAGCTCTGTGTTATTCTGTCTGCGTCCCTAGCATGTGGCTCAGTGCCTGGGAAGGAGTAAGTGCTCAAGGGTTATATGTTGAATATGTTCATTCATGCATGCATGCATTCACTCCACAAACATGCATGCAGAGCCTGCTAGGCGTGCCGGGCATGGTTCTAGGCCCAGGAGGTACTGCAGTGAATGAAAGGGAAATATCCTGAAACACGAGAAGCTTAAATCCTGGAGAGAGACGGCAAACAACATAGAGGGCAAAGAGGCTGCTAGAAGATGGCAGGTTGGAGAGAAAGAAGGCAGGGGAGGGCGGGAGGGGTAGGGGGTGCACAGCTGTGCACACTGAAAGCTGTCTTCCAGGAGGTGACACCTGAGCAAGACCTGGGCGAAGGAGCGAAGGGAGGGAGCGAGCCCGTGGTGACTTGGACACAGAGGCTGCAGGCAGGGAGAATGTGAAATCCAGGCCCCGAGGTTAGTGAAGAGGCAAATCACACAGCAAAGGAAACCATCAATAAAACAAAAGACAACCTACCGAATGGGAGAAGATATTTGCCAATGACCTATCCAGTAAGGGGTTAATACCCAAAATATGTAGAGACCTTATACAGCTCAACACCAGAAAAACAAAAAACCCAATTAAAAAATGGGCAGAGGACCTGAACAGACATTTTTCCAAAGAAGACCTACAGATGGCCAACTGACACATGAAAAGATGCTCAGCATCACTCAGCATCAGGGAAATACAATCCAAACTACAAGGAGATACCACCTCACACCTGTCAGCATGGCTAAAATCAGCAACACGAGAAACAATAGGTGTTGGCGAGGATGTGGAGAAAAAGAGACCCTCGTGAGCTGTGGGTGTGAACAAAAACTGGTGCAGCCACTCTGGAAAACAGCATGGAGGTTCCTCAAAAAATTAAAAATAGAGCTACCCTGATACAGTGATTCCACTACTGGGGGTTTATCCCAAGGAAAATGAAAACACTCCTTCAAAAGGACCTAGGCATCCCCCTATGTTTATCACAGCATTACTTACAATAGCCGAGACGCGGAAGCTGCCTGAGCCCATCCATAGAAGAGTGACCAAGGAAGGTGTGGTATATACATTAACTGCGGCACTTAGGACAACATGGATGGGACTAGAGGGTGGCGTGCTAAGCGAAATGAGTCAGAGAAAGACAGACCCCATACGATTTCGCTCATATGTGGAATCTAAACAAAAAAAAAGACCCAATGAATAAACAAACAAAAAGCAGAATGAGACCTATAAATACAGAGAACACACTGCTGGTTGCCGGGGGCGGGGGTTGGGGGGGACGCGGGGATGGGGGATGGGCGAAGGGGAGGCGGAGGCACGGGCTTCCAGGCATGGAATGAGGAAGACATTTGGAATAAAAGGCACAGCCCAGGGCGCAGACTCAATGACACCGTACCAGCCTTGTGCGGTGAAAGGTGAAACAACGTTGCAACTAGTTGAATCACTAGGTTGCACGCCAGAAACTAATGTCACATCGTGTGTCAACTACACTCAAAAAAAAGAAAAAAAATCAATGAAACAAATGAAGAGGCTACTCCGTAGGCTCTTCCCTGAAGACCCACCCCCTCCCGCGTGCACGCCTGATATTAAGAGCATTTGGTTAGATCCGGTCTTAACATTCAAACGGAAAAGCAGGGTGGGCGGGTTACCTGTGAGGTTCTGCAGGTGCTGCTTTCCCAGCAGGTGCTCCTTCTTGTTATGCAAGGAGCTGAAGAACCGTGTGCAGGTCCTACAGTACCAGGTCGTTGCCTTCATCCCCCAGTGGACAGAAACGTTTTGGAGGCGGGCGGACGCGCGCGGGGTTCCCACCATCTCTGAACATACACTTGGCTCAGAGGGGCTTCCGCACGGCTCTCGGGCTGGGCTGCGTCCTGCTCGTCCTGCTCGTCCCCTCTCCCCCGGGGAAACCACTTGCCGGTTTGAGGCCTCTCCAAGCGCAGCTGAGAATTTCAAATCATCCCAAGATCTCTGTCACCGAGTGGGAAATGCGAGGAATGGGGCCAAGAAGGAAGAGCGGGGAGTTCTGGTAACTGGCGGAATTGTTTGAGAAAGCGCAGAATCAACTCTGGGTTCTGCTTACTTGCAAAGAGTTTACTTTGAAATCCTAAACCAGAATGAGCTCTATGATTGAATAACAAAAATGTGTCCTTTTATCAAAATATCTATGCACGAGCCCATAGGTGCTTGCATGTATCCACGGGCTATTTCTGGAGGATGCCCTAGAAGCTGGGTATAGTGGATGTCTTGGGATGCAGAGGTGGGCTGGCGCCTGTAAGCAGGACCCACCTCTTCCCAGAAGCCTCTGTGTGCTGTTTGCATTTGTTTTTACCATGCACATATATTATTATTCTTCTTTTTAAAGATTTATTTTTCCACTTTGGGGGGGCAGAGGGGGAGAAAGAGAGAGTCCTAAGCAGACTTCTTGCTGAGGGTGGAGCCGGACATGGGGCTCAATCTCATGACCCTGAGATCACAACCTGAGCTGAAACCAAGAGTCGGATGCTCAATGGGCTGCACCACCCAGGTGCCCCGCACATATATTATTTTTAAATGAAAAACCTAATTAATTAAGAAACATATATAACTATATGCATTTGCTTACGTTTATTAGTTCGGGGATGTAAAAATTCCCTAAGCTTTTGGAAGAGATGCTTCCTGACAAAGACTTATACGTTTTCCTGACCCCGGGCCAGCCAGACGCTGATGAGACTCAGGACGTTCTGCAGCTCACTGATTCTTAGGACTTCTGTCCCTTATCAGAGAGGAGCTCCTTCAGCCTGGAGATGTGTCCTCGACCTGGAAGAGGTCGAGTGATTTCTTGCATACCCTCTTGCCTACCTGCTGCTAAAGTGGAAGGACCCTGCTAGGAGAGCGCAGTGAGGGAGGAGAGCCCTGGGAGCTCCAGAGAGGGAGAGATGGGGGAGGGCTGCTGGAGAGCCCCGAGTCAGGAGGGAACTTGAAGGGAAAGGGGTCTGTGGTGCAGCACATCCGAAAAAGGGCCTGCCCCCGCCGGGGGCTGGTGCCGAGACATCAGAGTAAATGTCCAAACTCAGCTCACATGCACCTCAACACAAAGTTCTGCACTCTCACGTTTGCTTATAGAAATATATCCTTATCATACAATCCATCATGACAATGCAGGATGACCCTGGGAACAATTATGGAAGGGACCCCACCCTCATTCAGATGATCCCTACCACCAACCCTCTTGCAACCTGAAGCCAAGATTCGGAAGGGCTGTTAAGCGAAAACAAATCGCAAGGTGCCCAAGAAAAGGTGTCGAAGAAAGAACTAGCCAGGAACCATTTATCTTGTAATCTATCATGCTGTATATCTAGTCACACGGCCCTCAATAGAAGTGTGAGGTCTTCATCTATTAGAATCAATTCATGTTTTCAACTTCCAATTCAACCAGAGGTCACTGAGCACTCCGTTCACAGTCGCGCTCTGAGCTGCGTGTCGTGAGGACAGCAGGAGCTTGTCTGAGGTCACAGGGTGGGTGAGGAAGAAAGGGGAGGCTCTGGATCAGCAGCTGGCAGCCCTCCAGGGCAGGTGGGCACATGGAAGGCAGAGGAGACTGGACAGGGAGATGGACGCCAGGTCATGGACAGCCTGACATGTAGGCAGTGGGGCGGGCACAGGCTCCGGGGAGGGGTGCCTGCGTCGGTGAGAGAGCACCGGGCTGCACAGGGCAGAGGAGGGGCGAGGGGCTTCTGCCTCTGCAGCCCTGCCTGGGCCCCAGGGGGCTGACCTTTCAGGCAGACGACAGATTTAGGAAGTCCTTGGCACTGTAAGTCCTCACATCATTTTATCATCATGATAGAAGGTGGTGTACTTAAAACAACTTTTAAAGTTATTATGAATGCATGCTTAAAGTAATAAAAAAAAAAGGGGAGGTGTAAAGTGAAAGTGTGTCCCATCCCATTTTACTCCCCCTGGGTGAGAGTTTCTTGTGTGGCCTTCCAGAAAATTTCAGCGTAAGCACATCTGGCTGCCCCTTAAAATTCATTTTCAGTGATTCCTTGTTTGTTAGTGAAATAGATATTTCTTTGTCAGTTAAAGCTCAAAGGAAAACACCTACCAATTACATCGCAGCTCGTACCGTCCGGCGACTCCAGGCACGGCTGCCCTGTCCTAGTCCCCATGTGCCCACTGTCCGCTCCCCGCAGCCCGAGCGACCCTCCGTGCCCCAAACGTCCTACGCGGCCTCCCTTCCCTGGGTCTCTGCCCATCCTGTCTCCTCTGCGTAGAGCTCAGCTTCACATCCATCTGCACCCAGCATGCCCAGCATGCCTTCTGGGAATTTCTCACGTATTCTCAGGACTCCTCATTAGGGGGAGTCAGAATCGCCTGCCGTGTGAGTAACACCCCCAGACGGCACCGGCCTGTCTCCATCATAGCCGATTCCTGGAATGATCTCCTGTAGCTTCTGTCATCAGTCACCACACCTGGTGATGTAAAGGAGCAGAACTCATTCTCCCAGAGTCCTGGAGACCAGAAGTCCAAAATCAGCCTGGCGGGGCCAGAATGAAGATGTTGGCAGGGCCATGCTCCCTCTGGAGGCTCTAGGGGAGAACCTGTTTCTGGCCCCTTCCAGCCTCTTCCGGTGGCTAATGACATTCCTCGGCACGTGGCCACATCACCTTGACCTCGGCTGCTGTGGTCACGCAGCCTTTCCTTCCGTCTCCCTCCTGTAAGACCACCTGTGGCTATCTGATGCCCTTATTTCAATTTCATCACATCCCCAAAGACCCGCCCCATTGTCCGTAAGGTAACATTCATGGGTCACAGGTACTGGGACCTAGGTATCTTTGGGGGTGAACATTTTTCAGTCTCCCATGCCCGATGAGGTGATGTTTCAAAACCACTACCCGCCCCCCACCCCTGAAAACAAATACTTACATCAAGTGCTGAGAATGGAAGGCCCTCCCTGTCTAATCTGTTTCCTGGTGTGCCTGGTCCTGCTGGAAGACAGGTGGCATCAGAAAGCATCTGAGGGAGGAGTGGTCACCTTGAGGGTCGGAAGTGCTTCCCGAGGCTAAGAAGTGACCCCAGGCTCCTGCTGGAGGACCAGGGCTTGGCTTCAGCGGCTCAGGTCCCACTGAGGTCTGAACGGCCCTAAAACCCACGAGGCTACCCCTGACTTCCATGTATAAGCATCTGACCAGCTATGGAACGATGAGCCAGAAACCAGGAAAAAACGAAAAGAGTGCATTCTTCTGATTAGCATGGCCGATTCTAGGTGATGTTAAAAAAAAATTGTTTATTGTAATTAATAGATTTTTATATGGTAAGCTTTAAACAATTACCATGTTTTCCATCAGGCACAACTTGTTTGTTTAAAAACCACGCTCTATTGGAATCGTCTTTCTTTGTATCACACTAGCTTTCTGTGTGGGGACAGTCTCCAAACAACCACAACGGTTAGCAGGCCGAGGGGCTCCCACGAGCCTGAAGGATTAAGTAAGACGAGGTGCTCCCTGCTAAGTCTGACAAGCGGCGTCCTTAGGGAGGAAAACACCAGCAGGGAAGACAGCTGCTCTCAGTGGACCCTTGGCCAAGGGTCTCAGGGCACAGTTTTCTTAGCTCTGACGTTCATAGCGAGGACCGGAGGCCCCACTATGCTCAGGGATTGTCTGCTAATAGTTACATGCTAGATCAGTGGTTTTCAGGTTGATGGTTTTTTAATGGGCAGGTGCTTGATTAAAAATAAATGTGAGGTGGAAACCCAGTACCTACAACGCGCCAGAGTGGAGAGGCCCGTGGACCAACTTGGTCTTCTGCTTGTTTTTATAAATAAAGTTTTATTGGCACACAATATACACCATCTGTAGCTGCTTTCCTGCTTCAACCAGAGCCGAGCGGTTGTGACAGAGACCACGTGGCCCACAAAAGGTAAACTATTTATGGTCTAACCCTTTGCAGCAGTTTGCTGATCCCTGCTCTGGATGAAGCTGGGGTGCGGTGCCTTTGCTGCAGAGTGAAAAGGGGGGTAGCCAGAGTGAAAGCTTGCCAAACTCTTGCCATGTGCCAGGCACCAAGCTCCCTACAATTTAACCCCTCTGCTCTGCACCAAGCCCAGCCCAGAGGGACTGATTACAGCCGATTTTCATGCGAGGACACCGAAGCACAGACTGCTTCAGTGGCTCGTGCTGAGTCACAGAGCCAGCATGTGGCAGAGCCGGGATTTAAACCCAGGCACTTGGACTCCCGAGCCCACGCCCTGACCACTGAGGCGAGAGCTCAGGTGGGAGTGAGAAGTGGCAGCGTGGGGGCCCGATGGGCTTTGCGTGGAAGCCCTGGGGACGGTGGTCAGCCCCAGGCACAGAGAGCGCAGGGCACAGCACTCCGCATGGACGGTGGTGGACCCCGAACCACTGATGAGGAGCCCACCTCCCTGGACCTGAGCTCCCGGGCCCCTGCTGCTGAGGACTCTCAACACTGCCCCATGGGCATGCGCCCCTAGGAGGGGGCTGGTGATGCCTTCCAATGAGGAGGAAGAGACGATGAATGGGAGGTGCCCTCCATGGTGAAGGCATGGTGAGTAGACACTCAATAAATGCAGCTCTCTTCTCTTCCTTCAGCTGGGACCCCCAGAGCTGGACCCCAAGACAAGGATTTGGTGTGAGTGGTGTTTTGGGTGGTGATGCCAGGAAGCATTGGTGGGGGTGGGGGCCGGTGAGTGGAGGACAGGAAGAAAGCCAGTGCAGGGTGTCTTGCTGGGCAGGGGCCACCACAATCCATCTATTAGATAAAGGGCTCATATCCAAAGGATAAGAGGATGCGGCTTTTAAACTGGAGGTGACTGGTGCGAACACTGGGTGGGGTTAGGGCTAGCCCCAAGGGCTTTCTAAACACGCTTCATGCTGAAAAAAATCCCAGAGTGGCAGGGAGAGCTAGCCCCAGCCCCCGTGGCCGGGCCCCACTCACCCAACAGTGTGCGTGCCTCGTGCGCTGCTTGCCTCTGCAAGAAGGCTCCACACGCCTGGGAGCTCTGGTAGGCCCGCAGCTCACGGATGTAGCGTTGCTTGTCCTTATCCGCCTCATAAACGTACCTCTGGAAGAAGGAGCACAGTGGTGATTCTCAGACTCTCCTGATCTGGGAGGTGGGGGGGGGGGTGGTCTTCTTGTCCAATTTGCCTTGGGTTCTCTAGGAAGGTCCCAAGAAGCTACTACCCAGCTTCTGCTTGCACACCCCTGGGATGGGGACCTCACTACCCACCAGCAAGCTCATTCCTTGTTTAAATGATGCTGACCCTACAGAAGGTTTTCTTCCAATCGACAGGAATCTGCCCCTCCCCCCACCCTGAGGCTTTCACCGTTCTGTCACATGTGATCTGGTGATTGCAGAGGAGGGTAGCACTATTAGGTCCCTCTCAAGGGACATGCCACTTCTATTCAATCATCACTCATACAAAATCAGTGCTTTACCCTGTGCAGCGTGCTGGGCTGGGTACTGTTGATAAAGAGACAAATCAGAGCCAGCCCCAAGCTACTCCCTCGGTTACTGTTTTCCCTCCATCAGAAACACCCATCTCAGGGTGCCTGGGTGGCTCAGTGGTTAAGCGTCTGCCTTCAGCTCAGGTCATGATCTCAGGGTCCTGGGATCGAGCCCCGCATCGGGCTCCCTGCTCAGCGGGAAGCCTGCTTCTCCCTCTCCACTCCCCCTGCTTGTGTTCCCTCTCTGGCTGTCTCTCTCTGTTAAATAAATAAAATCTTAAAAGAAAAGAAAAGAAAAGAAACACCCATCTCGCCTTTCCTCCTCTGGATAAATCCTACTTATCCTAAAGATCCATCATAGAAAATTTATTTACCTCCTCAAGAATCTTTTTCTGATACCCTCAGGCTGGGCTGTGCCCTCAGACCTCCTGGAGCATGCCAGTCCCTGGTACAGACCTTTGTCCCAGGCAATCCTCACCCTAGATTGTATGCGTCCCCTTCAGGGGTCCTGACCCCCTTGACTCTGAGCCTCTGAGGGTGGGGACTTTGACTCATCTCCAGCCACACCAGGCAGGTGTAACCCAGGGACAACAGGGGGACAGCATGGGTGGTGTGGGTGGGGGAAGTTTGTCCCAAGAACACTTGTCGGGTAATGAATATCCACAGTGGTTATTTACTTGAGGCACTTGGTAATTTGAAATAAATAATCATGTTATTAAGTTAAAACTATTTTAAAGCATTGATATGCTGGGTTGGTCCTCCTAAAGTGTGGAGCAGGCCATCAGATGACCTCTTTCCTCAGGCTTCTGGACCCTCTTCCCACCTGTCAGGGGGCACACAGCCTCAGCCCCATTCTTACAGGGACCTGAGTCCCACCGAGGGGACAGCTGATGATGGTGTAAGGCAGGGTTTTTAAAACTAAGCTTTGGAGGAGCTCCAACCATGGCAGCTGGGGCAGGGAGAGGGTGGAGGATTTCTGAGATCATGAAAATAGCTCAGTGATACCCTAAACCTTGGATCAGAGACTCTGCCTCTGGATGTCCCACCAGAGATGCGCTAGGCTTTGCCAGCACCCTGCTTATTTGCACAGCAAATTGTAATTTTGTCTCAGCCGCTCAGACTGGAGTGTTAGGGGCTTAAGTCACTGTAACAGGTGGGGACCTGCCCTAACCATCCTCACCCAAGTGTAACCACAGTAGCTTTGCTTTAATTGGTTTGACATGTTAACATGTGTGTGATGGGGACACTTCCTCCCCACTTCTGATGTTTCCATTGGCTTAAACCTCCTGCCTCTCCTGTACTGGCAGAAGGAGTGGCTTCTCTGAGTCATAAGCCAGGGCCAGAATCAGAGATGCTCAGTGGAGTCCCGCCTTCTCTCCCCTCCTCTGAGACCAGCTGTCTAGTTCTTGGTCACAGTCAGGGGCCTGCCCTGTCCAGGACGGCCAGGGGTTGTCCAGTGCCTGGGCACTGGATCTATTTCCCAAGTGGTTGTAAAGCTGGGTTGTAAGACGAGGGTTGATATGGACACCCCCCCCAAGCCCAAATAAGGACTTCTCCCTAATAGTTAATTTGAACCACGGGTTTTCTGTGGCCAACACAAGTTGAAAGTGCAGAGGTTTAAAGACGTTCATCTCAGGGTCATTGCATTTGACCCAAAGAAATGACACTCTGAAAGCAAGAGGCTGTTCTGGGAAAAATATGGGCTTTGGGGTCAGACCTACTTAGAGGGGGTTTGGGAAGGCTTCTCGTAGGAGGTGACATTGGAGCAGGCATGGCTTGACCAGTGTGGCTGACAAGTATAGAAGGGGGATGGCAGAAGTTGACAGGGGACACATTTGCCCTACTAAAGGGGCTTTGGCTGTAACCCACAAGTTGGTGTTTCCTTCCCTGTGACCCCAAGAACAAACTGCGGGGAAGATTACAGGTGCTCTGTAGAAAGGGGGTTCCATGTAGAATTAGAATTAGTTTGAGAACTGTCTCACCCTAGAGCTGAGACTTGGAGACTTTCATGCCCCCAAAGTGCTTTCCTCTGTCTCTCCCTCCACGCCTCCCTCCACGAGAGCATGGGCCTCAAGTGAAATACTTTTTAAGTAAACAGAATCCTATTAAATGCTCCCAAAACCTTCTGCAGAGGGAAAAACCTATTTCACAGGACTTACTACAGAATTTCCCAAACTTATTTGACAACTTACCTGTTTCGTGGGTTAGTCATTCTGCTTAACCCAGTTTGCTAAATGGTGAGTGCCAAAAGCAAGGGAGAACTGACAATTGCTTTTAAGGGGTGGGGTGAGAGGCATCTCATACCTGCTTTCCAGAGGGTTCCCTGTGGCTCCTGTGTGAATAGATGGGCTGGGGGGGAACAGCCCCAGATGGAGGCTGTTGGGGGCCACTTTCTCCTCATTCTATGCAGAAAAGGACTTACTTGCTTTTTCTCTTGAGACAGCTGAGCCCACTGAGCCGCCAACATCTTCATGATTTCCGTAAATGGCAGATCCGGGTGCCTGGCCCTCAGCTGGCTCCTCTGCTCGTTTAGGAAGATCCTGTACCTGTGCTAGGAATGGAACAAGCAGCAGCTCTGAGCAACTGCAGGGGGCTGGGAGGGGCAGCGGGCCTGGGGGAGCGATTTCCACTTCCTGGTTTTTTTTTTAATAAAAATAAGTAATCATTGGTTTGCCCATAGTTCCAATCTAACCAGTGAATGGAGGTTAATTCAAGAGGGGGAAATACTCAAATGGCTGATTTATCCAGAGACTCATGAAAGACAAAGGAGCCAGAAGAGGCTCCCCAAGGTAGAGGCACGAGGCATGCCAAGAGGGGGCGGCAAGTGTGAGCCTCAGTTTCCCCCTCTGTGGAATGGATGTACATAATGCCACCTGTCCACAGGGTTATAGGAGATGGAGAAGAAAGCCTTCACCCCGAGAAACATGGGGATAAAGGGAAAAGAGCAGAAGCTTCTAGAACAGCAGGGTGACCTGCAGAGCAGTGCAGAGTGACTGTCATGGGATCTGTTTTCTGCAGCCCAAGATGCCAGGCGACAAGGGACAAAGTTTCAGGGCACTGGGAGGGGCGTCTTGAGCCTTGATGGAGGTTAACTAGCTCACCCCAGAGCACCCACATCTGCAAGCCTGGAAGGGAAACCAGACCTGCTTGGCCCCAAAGCCACCCCCTTCTGGTCTGTGACCCACACACAGCTCTTCGTCCTCTCCTTTGAGCATCAGAACCTTATTACAGCTTAAAGAACTAACAACCTGCACCCCCTCCCTATGGTGTGTGGCCCCCATTGGAAAACAGATCAAGGCTGAGATGGGGTCACGGCCAGGCCCTGCACACATGGCCACTGTATTAGCACACCGTCAGGTAGTCTGCCCCGTCTTACCCTGTCATAGGAGCATGGGGAACAGAAATATCCCTCGGTGGTTTCCTTTTCCTGCCTTTGGGCCAGCCCCCTTTCCTTTTCTGAAAGAGAAATAGCAGAGAAAAAAACCTCAAGACTGTCAGTCATGATTTACCATATTCCCATCACAGTTTACATCAATAATAACAGGACACTAAAGTGTCCTCTCCGTCCATGTGGCCTCTCACAACCTAGCAACTCTGCAGAGTAGAGATGATCCCCTGAACACGAGAGGACTGAGGCACGGAGATTCGATCACTGCCCCAGTCCCCAGCAGGTGCGGGAGTCGGGATATTCCTTCTCATCCAAGCTGCAGAATGCTCATTGGGCATGATCAACAAAAGAACGCAAGGTTTAGGTAACTAGTTGCACAGGAGGAAGGGACCAAACCTCAGCACTGGGGCAGGGGATGGGCAAGAGACAGAAAGTTAACACATGAGCTTGACTGGAGCCCAGCCCGGTTCACATCTCTGTTCTGCCACTTACCTGCTGTGTGGCCTTGGGCAAATTAGGAACATCCCCATGCCTCAGTTTCCCCACTTGTAAAATGGAGATCATGACAGTCCTTACCTGTGGGCTGTGGTAAGGACTAAATGTGCTAATATTCACATAGTTCTTAAAACAGGGCCAGGCACCCAGGAAGTACTCAGTCAGTGCAGCCTGCTATGATTGAACTCTCTCCCACTGAAGCCAGTCTTGGGAGAGAGACCCAAGCTGCAGACTTACTCTTCCATTCATTGTGTGTGTTGGATCCATCAACACTGCCTAATCCTAACCCTTGCTATCATCAGGGCTCTGTGCCTGCTCGGAGTCTAGATGGCTGAATAGGACACAGGCCTTGCCCTCAAGCAGCTCACAGCCCAGTGGTGGAGGCTGACTTATATAGAAATAATTGCAACAATTCATTACAAGGGGTAGAGGTTACAGAATGACAACCTGGATGTCCTTGCACTCAGGGCTCAGATTCCAAGTTTTCTAAATCAAACATATGCATGTGCCCAGAATAGTAGAGAGAACTCAGAATGGGTCCTTGTAAACCTCTCTTTCAACTATTCCAGCTTTTCTGTTCAAAGCTTCACCCCAGACATGCCCATTTCGGTCTTCCCAGGGCCAGGGGATACAAAGCTGGCCTGTGGCTCAGCAGGCTGCCTGGGCAGATGTGCTGGGGACTGAATGACAGAGAAGGTCAGGACAGCGGTTGGCATCAGGGGGCTTAAGGAGCAGGAGGGCAGAGCTCAGGCCAGGAAGAGGCAAAGAGCCAGGATAGCAAACATGTGTGGTAATGAGATAGTGCCGCAGAGTACCTAGCAAGGTGCCAGGCATGCAGTAGGTGCACAATAATGACACTCTCCCTCGCTCCCTTCCAACGCACAGACTATGCTGATCCCTGGAGTCTGAAAGTGAAGAACAATTCTTTCAGGACCCTGGAGAGCTCCCAGGGCCTGAGGTCTGTGCTGATTTCCTGTGAGGGACACACCCCCGTAACAGTGGAGCTCACCAAGGGCTTCCCAACATGCGCGGTCCTGAATGTGAGTCTCACATCCCCCCAGTGAAAGTAAATATTATCATCATCCCATGCCGTGGGAAGACACTCAGAAAGGTGGTGTGATTGGCCACTGAGTAGCCGTGCCAAGCCGAGAGCCGGGAGCACGCCCTGGCTTCTGTTAGAGCCGTGCCTCCTGAGGGAGACCCCACAGCTGCCTGGGGTCAAGTGGCACGTGGGGTCAAGTGGCCAGCTCACCTCTGCCCTGCCTCCCTGCCAGAGCTGCCCCCTTCTCTCTGCTCAGCTCCTCTGCTGTAGCACAGAGGGGAAGTTGTTTGTTTCCAATTAGAGGAAACATTTCCATGTATTTTATTGTACTTCTCTATCTCCTCGTATTATAAATCAAAAATCAAAATAAGTGTACTTTTTAATAATTTTACTGCTGTCCTTGGCCCTTTGTTTCAGCTTCTTTATTACAAGAAAATCTTTCCTGAGTATTTTCTTAGTTTGCCCACAAACTATAGTCATGGAGACAGGGGCGCTTGGGATAAGCCACTCTGAAGCCTTTTGTTCTTCCACCATTTCTCACACAGGATTTGCACTTAATTGACTCTGCCCTAAATAGATCTGGCCATTAGCACATGGTGTTACTGTGTGGAGAACATTCCCATCCACTTGAGGACACCCATTAAAAAGGAGAAGGCAGCGCAGAACATGTTGAGCAAGACAAGAGTGAAGAAAACAGTGTGGTTGGCAGTGAACAAGAAAGCCCACTTTCAGCAGAACAGAGGGTCGATTTTGCCATTTTGATTGTCAAAATCCAAGGGGGGGAAATCCCTTCCGAGAGGATTCTTGACCAGCACAGACTTTTCATATTCAAATTGCAACAGACGGTGAATTTTGGATATTTGGTTCAATAGACAGAATTTTCTTTTGCAGAAAAAAGCTCCTTTGGGAGTCAGCAGGGTGGAACAGAAGGTACTAGGGGCTGGAGTAACAGACACACACCCCCCCTCCCCGCCCCCCAGCTCTGATGCACCGTGGGTCTGAGAGCTGCGCTTACCCCTGCAGCTCCTACTCCAACACAGAAGGCAGCACTGGGGCCATGAACTAGTGTTTGCTAAGGGCTAACACAGGACCGGGCACCTAGCGGGGACTCTGCACATGTGTCTTCTTGCCAGAGAGGGAAGACCTCAAGGACATGCTCATGAACAGGATTCTACAAGGAGACTGAGCAAGACTCAAAGAGAAAAATAGTTTAATTTATGCAACTTTTCATGTCTTTCTTTTGGGAACCAGGCTAAATCTCTGATGATGCTTACTTACAAGCATGTTTAGGAAAAGACTCTTGGCCACTGTGTGTTTTATAGTCAACTCCCCAGCAAAGTTTGGGTCCTGGCTATTTGCACGAGGGAAGTAGGGGCTTAGTTAAAGGGCATGCAGGCCATCCCTCCCTACCCCACCGCTGCATCTGAACAGTGAGGACATTTATTACAAGATGGTGCCTGCATCACACGGTTCTAGATACCATGAGAAAGGTTAAACTGTTAAAACCTGGGTCCCTGCCTTTAGATATCACAGTCCTCTTAAATCAGAATTCTAGTACATTTATTTCTGGAATAAACCAACACTACAAAAGAAGTGCTTTCCTTTTTTTTTTTTTTAATGGAAGGCTATTAGACACCAGTGGCACTCCCTAGCCTAATCTCTCATCTCAACCTTAACCAGCTTTGCAGACTAGATGCCTCAGGGAGAATTGATGATTCTGTGTGGCAATGGAGGGTGGTGGTCAGAGCATGGATTCAGGAGTAAGACGGTCCAGATGCGAGTCCCAGTGTCTCCACAGACTGGCTGTGGAACCTCGAGCACATTACCTAACAGCACATGGAGATGCCAGGTCTTCCCTCGCTGGCTGTAAAGGTTATATAGGCTAGGAAGGGTTGCCAGGGCCCGGGAAGCCCATGGGGTGACTGTTACTGTGATTGAGGTCAGCCCTCTTGTGTTCTAATCCTGCTCCACTGCCTTCTGCACCTGTTGCCTCCAGAAAGTCCTTAGACCTTTCTGAGCGCACCTCCACCCAGAAAGTGGGGCTGGCTTGTTGTGACGGTCACACGAGGAAGATATACACAAGAAAGTGCCACCATGATTGGGATTTAGCTTTGGCTTAAGGGGAGCCAAGCTTGAGTTAAGCTCCTCACACATCTCTCTGTGGCTGTGGCAGACACAGCCAGTCATCTCCGCAGTATCCATTCTACCCTTCTTTATTAGGAATTGAACCCTGATTTTTAGCTGGGCACATGGCCACCTGGAATAAATATGTTTCTCAGTCTTCCTTACAGCCAGGTGGGGCCGTGTGACTAAGTTCTGGCCAATAAGGGCATACTAAAGTATGGTATGCAACTTCTGGAACATCTTCATAAAAGGAAGGCCTCTTTTTCACCTCTTTCTCTCTCATGCTGGCTGGATGCAGACATGAGGACTGGTGCTCAAGCAGCCACCTTGGACTATGAAGCAGCATGCTAAGGATAGTAGGGCAATGAGATGGACAGAGTCTGGCCCTTATTGGTTGTGATACCTCCGTAGTGCCCCAAACCACCTACCTTTATATGTCATTTACATGAGAAAGAAACAACTTTTGCTGTTGTCTAAATCACTATGACTTGGGGGAGTTTTCTGTTATGTGAAGCTGAGCCTCATCCTAATGCATACAGAGGGTTATTTTATTTTTGTGTTTCTAAGCAGACCTGGTCATCTCTCTCTGGTACTATTACAATAACAAGGGAAAGAGAAAAAAAATCATTGTGTACCTATTATGGAACAGACCCTTTGGTAGGCGACAGTTATTTAGACTTCAGAATGGATTGGGCTATCTCCATGTGAGAACTGCTCACCTCACCCCAGAATGGTCACCAGCGACCCCAAGTTTCCTGGAGTGGCTGGGCTCAGGAGCCAGACTCTCTGAGCTTAAATCCTGCCCTGCCATTTACTGTGTGACCCTGGGCAAGCTCCTTGACTTCTCTGTGCCTTAATTTATCCTCATGGAAAAGTGGGGGTAAAAATACCAACCTTGCAGGGTTGAGAGGGTTCAGAGACAAGGCACAGGAGTTCCCGGCGCAGAGCTCAGAACACAGGAAACATTAAACATGCAGCTGGTAACAATGCTGGCCCAGCACGTGAGCCCTCCGTGCCTGGCCTGGGTATTGCACTTGCCTTTGGCTCCTCTGTGTCCTGCTCCTTTGGGTCACCCCGGTTGGCCAGCACGACATGCTGCATGGGCAGAGATGCGGGGTCCCGGCAGTGGGTGCGGATCACAGAGCATCCCGGGGGCAGGCCACCCGTCTCATGCACAGACCTTGGGGGAGAGGTGGGAGAAGGGGGAGGTGGGAGAAGGGGGTCTGCAGGCGCTGAAACAGGAAGAAATGGCCCCATAAGGTCCGAGGTACTGAAATCACCGCCACCCCCTGGGTCCGTCTGGCACAGGCACTCTGTAATTGACACGTGCATTTTCAGATGCTCACAAGTGACAGCGAACTCTGGAAACCGGAGCTGGTGGTCACTTTTCTGGGGCACAAACAGTAGCCACACAGAGGAGGTGGTGCCTAGAAACAAGGCAGGCTCCAGTGAGCTGGCAGAGCCTTTTAAACCATTTAAGCATTGAAAAATGGTTAAATGTAAAAAAATATCCGTTTATAAAACCAAATACCCAAAAGCCACCATCTGTTGCAATTTAACATTTTAACCATTTAACCATTGTTAAAAGTGTGGGCTCTAGACCCAGACCGTCTGGGTTCAGACCCCAGCTCCCATGGATGAGCTTCACGTCGTTAGCAACACGCTTCCACCGCAGGGACTACAGTCCCCGCTGCACATGTTGGGGCAGGATTCATGCCCCATTACACCACAGGTGTCGACGGGATGCTTGCTGTGAGCTGGGCATGCACACATCAGTGCACACAACAGACAGCAATCCAGTTCTCCTGGAGCTGACCTTCTGGGGAGTGGGGGTTAGACTAAAACTCGTAAAGTACAGCACAGGGCACTTAGGAGGCTCTTATTCCGGTGGCATTTTAAATTGGTGTGTTAGCAGAAATCTATCCCTCAGGAATGTCGACTGTGGCCAAGTTATCCCCTGATCCCATTTTACAGATGGGAGGGAAGTAGGAATGGGACTCTGTATAGCTCGGGTCTAGTAGGTGCAAGCGCAGACGACCGTGCTTTCTCCTACCTACACACACGTGGGGGCCAGTGTGTGGATGGGGAAACCGAGGTACAGGGAAGCAGAGTGATTGTCCAGAAAAACCCAGGTAGGAAAGGCCAAGTGGAATCTTGAACCCACGTCTCCTGGCTGCCAGCCCAGTGTTCTGTCCTCCTCCCCTACCTGTCCTGGCTGTGGCTCGCCATGCTGAGGAGAAGGTTACAGCTCTCAAGGTATGTCCTCAAGTGTGACCCCATTAGTATCCTGTCTTAATTAACAAGCCATGATGGAGGAAATGCCCCCTGCCAAACTGTTCCAGGCACCAACTCGTCCGAGAGTGAGGAAAGGCAGGAAGGAATCACTGACTTCCTCTCAGCTTCCAAGGAAGAGGAAATGTGGCAAATAGTGATGACCAAACCCAGAGTTCCAGAACTTTCCTGGCCTGTCCCCATTTCCGTAGCCACATGGCCAAGGTCTTGTAATCATTCACTGTTCTATTTGTTTTGTTTTGATTGAGACGGTATTTTTGAGTCATAACTCATGGGTATGGCTTAGAATTCAAAGGGGTATCAATGGGGTAATGGTAAAAGCTAGAGCTAGCTCGCCCCTCTCTCATCCTGCAGCACCCAGGTCCCTCCCTGTTAGGGCGCACTGTTAGGGGGCATGTCACATGCCCTTCCGGAGCTAGTCTGTGCATTTACACACACTTCGTCCCCCTGCACAGCGGCCAACTAGTTGCACTGAACGTAATTTGCTTCTTTTGTTGACTATGCTTTGGAGCTCCTTCTGCTGGCCATTTAGAGCCGCCACATTTTTGGGGAAGGCTGCATCATATTCTCAGTGTGGACGGGCCACTGTGCATTTAGCAGCCCCTGGTAACAGATGCAGGTTATCCCTGGTCTTTGCACACATGGAATCACCTGCATGTGGCGGGCTCTCTAGGAACTGGGTTGTGGGGTCAAAGGGCATGTGTGGTCCAGAGAGACCAGATAGACCCTGGCTGGCACATTCCCTTCCATGGGGCTGGACCCGTCTCACACCTGCCAACAGTGTAAGACTCACCTTCCTCCTGGAGATCCCTGCTTCTGGGCCCAGAGATGACAGTCCCACCACCTCCCTCTCTGCTCACATCCCTCTAGCGCTCCCTTGACTTCGGCATGAAGTCCAGGTCCCCTGGCCTGGCATTTGAGGCTCCAGGAGGCTGGGCCTGCATGCTCCTCCAGCCCCACATTCATCCAACTGATATAAAGGACACTGAAAGGTAGAGTCAACAGGGGGGGTCAATAGACCCTTTACGTGTATTATGCTGTTTAATCTCCAGCATGGCTCATCACCATGGTGACATCCACGGCGGAGAAGTAAGTTCAGGGAGGTCAGTGACCTTCCTGACTGCCCACAGCAGGGTAAGGGCAGATGGGACCTTCCACTTTGGGCTGCCTATCCTTTCCACCTCCCTAGCCACCTTGCCAACAAACAGAAATCCTATCTCATTCAGTACCACCTGATTTCAGACACCCTCACCCTGCTGGGCCCAGCCCCAAATGTCCCCTGCCTTGGCCCCTTTCCAAAGGCCCAGCACAGTGGGCAACAGAGAGGAGCCCATTTGGGGGTCAGCCGTAGGATGATTTATTCATTCCGGGGACAGACATATTACCAGGGTCGGACAGAGTGCCAGGCCCCAGGCAAAGGCTGCAGAAACAGCAGTGGACGACAACACAGAGTACACAGAGCTCTTGATTCACACCAGTCTTAGTTCCCTGGAGGACAAAAGCTATGGTGATTGCTCTCTCTTTGCTTATGAGTAAATGGAAGCTCAGGAATGCTCTATGATGGCCTAACGATCTCCAATCCAGAGATAGGCTGTGCCTACCCTGGAGCCCTGGCTCCCACTGCAGTGTGCAGTGGTTACACCTACAAGTAAGCTAGAATGTCCGGCTCTGCCACCTACCAGCCATGTCATCGCTCAGTGCCTCAGTTTCCCCACCTGTAAGATGGGAAGGGGCAGTGAAGATTGAGGCTGTTGTTACAGGGCCTGGCACCCAGGAAGCAGGCAAGAGCCAAGAGCCAAGAGCTCCTATTCTAAGTCAAAGTCGGCTTTGGAACTTGAGAATACCTTCTGGACGTTCAACTTTAGGCTCGAATGCCACTAGCCCTCCAGGGCCAGAAACACATTAGCCGGGAGCAAATTAAACCATTTTCACTTAATTGTCCTATGAGGTTAGGAAACGGGATTTTCTGCAAAAGGGAAGGCTCTGGACAAACCCCGAACCTTTCCAGCATCAATTTCAACATCTGCGCGCTTGGCAAGAAGCTCTGGCACCCACAGAACTGGGTTCCAATCCTGTTACGCCCTAAAGACCCACGGGACCGAGATCAGGTTACTGAACGCCTTGCGTTTCTCACTGTGGAGACGTGACAATGCCTGCCCCCAGGTCGCTGGGGGCATTACGTGGGACAGGTGAGCACAGGTTCGCTGAGCCAGAGCTGGAGCCCGGCCAAGGGCCCCACGACGCAACTGGGGTCATCCGCTGACTGCGCGCGGCCGTGTGCCCCAAGCAGCGCCCGGGACTCTGTGTGGCGGCCTGGAAAGCAGGCCAGCTCCGGAGCCCGGGCCGCACCCGCTTCGGCACTGGCCGCTGCGGACAGCACCGCAGCCAGGCGGCGGGAAGTCCGGACGGTCACTTGTGCCCCGGGACGCGCGGGGAGTGGACCCGGCGGGGCGCAGGCTGGGTCACGTTCCAGGGCCTGGGCCCGCCAGGCGTGGGCACCCGAGCCGCGGGGCTGGCTGCACCGGAGCGCGCCCACCCCCCACGACCTCCGCACTCCCGGGCAGCGGGGCGCGCGCGACGGGGAGGGGCGCAAGTTCAGCCACTGACCCGCAGCCTGGCCGCCGTCCCGCTGCACGTCGCCCGCCCGCCCGGGCCGCCGCCCCGCGCCCGAGGCTCCGGTTCAGAGCCCCCGGTGCGCCCGCCAGGCGCCCCTCCGCTCCGCCCCGCCGCTGCGGGTCCCCAGGGCGTGGGCTCTGTCCGCTGGGAACCGCGTCGCGCTGCCAGGGGCCTGGGCGGGTGCACGGGGCCAGAGTCCCAGCCGCGCAGGATGCCCGGAGCTCCGGGCTTTCCGGGCAGCCGGGGACTGGGCGGGGCCAGGAGGGGCGGGGCGGGGGCGGGGCGGAGGGCCGGGCGAGCCTCTCCCCGCGCCCCCGCTTCTGGCCGAGCCTGTCTCTCCGCCCGCACCGCCGTTATATAAGTGCGCCCAGTTGACGGGGAAGAGCCAGTCAGCGACGGCTCATCTTTGAATGATGCATTTTAATATTTCCAAATCACACCAGAATACACAACGCATTATCACTATGGCGAAATTAGAAAATTCAGAGCAGTCCCTCTCCTGGAAGCTAGCGCTTCAAAGCCAACCACCTGTCAACCCACTGGAGCCTCCCTTACATTAAACATGTTTTTTTCAAAATAAAATGTCTAAACATATAAAAATACCCGCAAGCTCCAACTCTCCTTCCAATGGCAACACTTCCAAGATCTTCCGGTCTGTGGCAGGTGACAGGAAGCGGTCAGGGGCTTCATACACTCTCTGGGTAATTCTGAGGTTGCCTCTGGGACGGCACAGCCCCTAGAGCCAGACGGTCTGGTTCATCAACCTACCTCTGTTGGGTGACCTTTGGACTGCTTACTTCATCTCTCTGGGCCTCAATCTCTTCATCGGTTAAATGGGGACAGTAATAGTGCTTATTATTAGGCACAGTTGTGGGATCAAAGAGTTAGTACTCCTAAAGCACGACGGAGGCACTCAGTAAATATGTCAGTTATTATTTCTGAGGTCTTCTGCATATGTCAAGGGTAATGAGCAGTACTTATGTAACAACAGATTTTGTTTTTTTCCTACTCCGCGAAGTTCCCAACTCCATTTCCATGTTTTCTTTTTAACCAACCAAGGGCTTCCACAAATAAGTCAGGAGAGCTCTCTGTTCCTCAGTTTCTTCCCCTGTAGAATAGAGGTAGTATTAATAGCATCACAGGGATGTTTGAGGATTCTATGAAATGCTGTAGGGGTGCATGTATATAGGTTTGCTATTAATCGATACTGCTGATAACTGGCTAGCCATCTAAAAAGGGAATAGATTCCAATCTAGTAAATAGAAAAGTAAACTCTAGATGGATTAAAGACCCAAATTAATAAAGCAAACAATAAAAACCACATAAGAAAACTGTGGCATCCCAATAGCATGCTCAGATAAGAAGCTCTCAACAGCAATACCTTGTCAGATGAAAATACTGAGATGGGGGATTATTCATACTTAAAATGCCTTGCTGAACTCACAAGAAAATCAGGGGAAATACCCAAGGACCACACCCTTCCCCACAAAAAGAGGAATAATCAGCCCAAACCGGAGTATGAACCCAGAAGTCTGGCTTCCACTGGGTACAACCACCTGGGACAGGAGCTTCAAGTTTGAGGAACTCAGGCGGGTGCCATGGACCAATGAACAAATCTGCCCATATCGGCTGCCTCTGGCGGAAAAACCGAAGATGATATAAATAAACAGTCTCTCCCGTGAATGTGTAGCCAGAAGACTGCTCCCATGTATGTCTGAGGATCAAATCTGTACTGTCCGGCAGGGAAAATCTCACCCATCAAGCTAAATTAAAATAGCTCCAGGTTAGTAGCGCCCCCTGGAGCCTAGAAGAAGCCAATGCAAACTGATGAATCACTAAATTCTACCTCTGAAACGAATCATACAGTATATGTTAATTTGAATTTAAATAAAAAATTAAAAAAAGAAGCAAATGTAAATGCTCTCTGGAGAACAGAATCTTCAATCCAGGCCTATCATTTTGTACAATAGATGAGCCCATAATAAAAATGAAAAGACCAGTGAAGGTGACTCCATACCTATGAGAATGTGTAAACTTAAAAGACAGAGCATAGCAGGTTGTGGTGAGGATGTGAAGGGACTGGGGCTCTACACATTGCTGCTGGGGATGCAGAATGGTGGAACCACTTTAGAAAACAGTTGTCCGTTCTTAAAAAGTTCAACATACATTTCCACACGATCTGGCCATTACATTCCTAGGTATGTGTCCCAAAGAAATGAGGGCATATGTCCACGCAAAGGCTTCTACACAAGTGTTTACAACAGCTTTATTTGTAATAACCTCGAACTGGAAACATTCCAAATGGCATTAATAAGTGACGGGAGAAACGACCTGCAGTCCTCCCATGCAATGCGGGGCTCCTGAGCAATAAAGCCATACTCCTGGCACATGCAACGACCTGGGCGAAGCTCAAAATAACTATGCTTCGTGACACAAGTCCAGAAGGATGCCAGGGACCAGGGCTGGGTGTGGGGGAGGGGGAAGGGGTCACCAAGGGGCTCTGGGAAACTTTCAGGGGGACGGATGCATTCATTATCTTGACGGTACTCATGGTTCCACAGGTGTATACACGTGTCAAAGCTTCTCTGCATTTTGTGTATATGAGTTTATTCTAGACTGATTTTTACCTCAATTAAGTTGTTACAAAAATATAATTGACAGTTTTAAGCAAAAGTAATTATACTGCACTTTAGAATTTGTAAGAAATATGGAAGGAAAATAGCACAAAGTAAAGGCTGTGTGAGGGAGTCTATGTTATTGGAGTGAGACCATGATAAAGATGCACATTATAAGGACGCCTGGGTGGCTCAGTCATTTAAGCGTCCGCCTTTGGCTCAGGTCATGATCCCAGTGTCCTGGGATCAAGTCCCACACCAGGCTTCTTGCTCAGCAGGGAGTCTGCTTGTCCCTCTGCCTGCCGCTCCCCCTGCTTGTGCTCTCTCTCTCTCTCTCTCTCTGACAAATAAAATCCTTAATAAGAAAAGATGCACATGGGGCACCTGGGTGGCTCAGTCGTTAAGCGTCTGCTTTCGGCTCAGGTCATGATCCCAGGGTCCTGGGATCGAGCCCCGCATCGGGCTCCCTGCTCGGCGGGAGGCCTGCTTCTCCCTCTCCCTCTCCCCCCGCTTGTGTTCCCTCTCTCGCTGTCTCTCTCTCTGTGTCAAAATAAGTAAATAAAATCTTAAAAAAAAAAGAAAAGATGCACATTATGAATTCTAGAACAACCAGTAAAAAAATAGAATAGTGGGATAGCTGTTAATAGAAGATATAAAATGGGATGCTAAAAAGACTTAATTTGAAATAAGAAAGGGAAAAAAGAAACACGAATAAAGAACTGGTAAGAAAAATGAAAAGCAAGTACTAAAGTGGCAGACTTCAGCCGGACCCTGTGAACAATTACATTCAGGGTGAATGGACTCACCACCCCATGGAAGAGGCAGAGACTATCAGACTGGGTACATAGAAGGACCCGATGAGGTGCTGGCTGCAAGAAACTCTCTTTAAATATGAGGGAAAAGAGGCTGACAGGAGAAGGGTGGGAAAACAGACCATGGAAGACCTAAGGATAGCAGGTTTCACAGGGCTACGTGAATATCAGACAAAACAGACCTTGCGACAAGGAATAGTGCCAGAGATGAGTCACGGTGGCAAAGGGCCAATTCATGAAGAAGCCAAGACAATTTTAAATATGTACATCTGTATTAATAAAGCTCCAGGATACATGAATCAAAACTGGCAGAACCGAAAGGAGAAACAGACAAATTTGTAATTACAGTTGCAGATTTTTGGACATCATTCCCTCTCTCAGTAATTGTTAGAAAAAGAAGATAAAAGTCAGTAGGTATATAAGGAGATCTGGAAAGCCCCATCAATCACCCTGACCTGGTTGACATTATGGGATCCTCTCCCCAATAATAGCAGAAATTGCATCTTTTCATGTGCGAATGGAAAATTCACCAAGATAGACCATGTGCCAGACAATAAAATACATCTCAAATTGAAAACAACCCAAACTATACAGAACCATGTTCTTTGATGGCAGAAATGTTAAATTATAATTTAAGAACAATAAGATGTCAGAAAATCTCCCGAATATTGGGAAATTAAGTAACGCATTTCTAATTAATACATCAAAGAAGAAATCAAGAGATTGATTGGAGACAAAATATTTAAAACTGAATGATAATACACATTGTGTCTATAAAATGGGTGATGTTTACTTTACAGGGTTAAAAAAAACCCAGAGGCTAGAACTACAATATTGGACAGATACCTCGTAACCTGGGAGAGCAGTGATGGAGGTCAAACCATTTATTGTTTGAGGCAATGGCTGAGATTTTTTTTTTTAAAGATTTTATTTATTTTATTTGAGACAGAGAGAATGAGAGACAGAGAGCATGAGAGAGAGGAGGGTCAGAGGGAGAAGCAGACTCCCTGCCGAGCAGGGAGCCCGATGAGGGACTCGATCCCGGGACTCCAGGATCATGACCTGAGCCGAAGGCAGTCGCTTAACCAGCTGAGCCACCCAGGCGCCCCAATGGCTGAGATTTTTTAAAAAATGATTTCATTTATTTATTTATTTATTTTTAGAGAGAGAGTGTGTGCATGTGGAGGGGCAGAGGGAGAGAAAGAGAGAATCCCTAGCAGACTCCATGCTAAGCCCAATGAGGAACTCTGCATGGGCTTGTTCCTACGACCCTGAGATCATGACCTGAGCCAAAACCAAGAGTCGGAAGCTTAACTGATTGAGCCATCCATGCACCTCTGATGGCTGAGATATTAATTAAAGCTTTGTTGAACAAATATGGTAAAATTTCTACGTTAAGCACTGAAAACATGGAAATAAACTATATAACTTTCAAACAGAGGAAAATGGAATAAGAGCAAAAGCTCAAACAATCCAAAAGAAGAACAAAAAATGGAGAAAAAGGAGAAGTAAAGAAAAGCAAGACAAGTAAAAAATACAAAATCAGATGGGTAGAAATAGCTCCAAAGATACCAGCTGGTAGTCACAGGCTGCACAGACAAACAAGTCAGTGGCCTGGGTCAGAGAGTGTCGTGTGGGCAAGTGTACAAAACCCACCATACGCTCTTTGCTTGGGATGCACCTCAAGTGTGAGGAAGACTGGGGGCGGGGGTTGAAAGTCAAGGGATGGATGAGAGTATACTAAGTAACAGAAAGCTGCAGTAGC